CAGGTCTATAAGATTCTAACGGGTCTGGATGCTGTTCAGCCAAATGGCTATTTCAGTATTAGTTTAAATACTAGAACTCGTGACCATAAGTGGAAATTAACGGGAGAACATTTTAAAACAAATTTGAGGAAGCACTTCTTTACACAGTGTATAGTTAGAGTATGGAATAGTCTTCATGCTAGTGTAGCGGAAGCTAAAACCCTGGGTTCTTTTAAATCAGAGCTAGATAAGATTTTAACAACTCTGAGCTATTAGTTAAGTTCTCCCCAAACGAGCTTGATGGGCCGAATGGCCTACTCTCGTTTGTAAATTTCTTATGTTCTTATCTGCAAATTGGGATCGAGATGGGAGTGAAGCTAAAAACACAGTGAACAAAATCTATTAAAATAGAAATTAAAATTAGGCTTTTCTGAAACACAAAACTATACAAATCAGAATATTTTACGGTAATAAAAGTATCACTAAAACTAAAGTGGTATTAATTTTAGTTTTCTCTGTTTGGGTGTGTTATTTGAGAACATTTTGAATACAGTAACACTGCGCAGAGATGTAAACGGAGTAAAACTAGTGGCGTAAGAGTATCAGAAAAGTAACGCGTTAAAAAAAAAAAAAAAAAACATACAACAGCCTACTAAAAACGATTTAAGGCGACAGAAAGGGGCGCTATGACGGGAACAGAAGCAGCGCGGAGCGGTTTGCAGCCATCCTGACAGATACTGATGATCTGTTTGTGGTGCTGATCTGTGCAAAATACATCATCTCCCAAGACTGTCCAGGCCGTATGGGAAAGCCACAGACGAGCGATTAGTGTTTGCAGTGTCTTATAATGAAATCTAATATATGACTGTGTGTTTATAGCCATTGTCTTAAATTAATAAACCTATTTTATTGTGATGTGCAGTGGTGTTGTGCAGTTAGCTCTGCTCCTGCTTTATGAAGCACGACGTTCTCCTTGGGATCCACAGAGCAGGCGGGGTTTAACGGTGCGAAAACTCCAGATTCATTTGCACTAACTCTCTTGTTTGGGTTATTGGTTTGATAGTTATTGTTTGATAAAGTTCAACCCACTTTATATCGCTCACGTTAGTAAAATTGAAGGGAAGAGGGCGTTTTAATGCCTGGCCCGGGAACAGCTGAGCTGTTTGGCTGTGGTCGTTCGCGGGGGAGATTTATCTGTCTCTGATCCACGACTAAACTGACTGGGCTAATGAACGGCAACTCGGATCAATAATACATTCTTTAAATAATGCGCAGACTGTTTTTGATTTAACTCTTCGTACTACATTTAAACAATGTATTGCCTCCCAGTCTGAATCCAAATAAAGTGTCTGCACTGGTATTTCAAATTTTAATGTGTCCTTGTGACTTTATAGTGGCGCCTGGTTAACACTAACAGCAATCGGTGTGTGTCCAGTTTGCATTGATCAATGGCAGTAACTCAAGCAAAACGGGAATATTCAGAGGCTATATCGTAATATAAATATATAGACTATTACAGGTATCCAGATACTGAAACCGGTTCTATATATGCATTTCTTATTAAAGTATTTTGTGTAACGAGCAGACTACGTAAGTATAGAAACAAATAAATTTAATGGTCTGGATAGTCCATCCGATACAAACTAAATTACGTTCCTCATAGATTATTCACAATTTACTATGCTATGTTCTGTTGTGGTTAACGTAATGTTTCGACATTAAACATGTTTTGCACCCCGTCCGGACATCGCATTCCGGGATGGAGCGCCGACAGACCCCGCGCCCGGAACGCCCCCGCCGGGAGGCTGCGCCCCAGCGGCCGGGGCGGGCTGCAGGTGGCTCCCGAGGACACACACCGCTGAGGATACGGACAGGGGGGATACTAATACCTATTACAGGAGGGGATGGCGGATAAACACCGCGGTACTGAGTGGTGATCACTGTGAACTTCCCCTGCTGGCCGGAGAAAAAAAAACTGGCAAGATCCTCATGTCGCAGTTAACTGCGTCTTAAACGCTATGAAAAACATTGTGGTTTGATCATTAGACGCGCTGTTAGATACTTTATGAATTAGACTGGGAGGAAACACGAATTCATTCATGAAAGGGAAAAAAGGTTTTCCGATGCACGACCCGAAGATTGCGCAGCATGTGGAGGAGCTGAAGCGGGCTACGAGCAGGAGACCCCGCCTGGGAGAGTCGGAGGAGGATCCGCCAGACGGCGCAGGTATGACGGCTGGGCTCCCGGCTTCTCACGCTCCTATCCTAAACACATGAATATCGCTGAAGGCCACGGGGATCCAAGGCGCTTAAAGCGCTCGGCTTTTAAACGGTGCACATTTAAGTTGAAAAACAAAAAGTTTTAAGCCGCCGTTCTGTTTCAGTTTTTGCGTCAGTTCGACACTAAAATTAACTTTCTGTACTTATTTGTTATCAATAGCTCATAACCCACACCATAATGGAGTAATAAGCCATATATTATTATTAATAATAGTGATAATAATACATTTAAACGAAATCTATAGATAGATAGATTGATAGATAGAGACAGATAGATAGATAGATAGATAGATAGATAGATAGATAGATGTTATCTATAATACGTTTTCACACTTCTAAAATTAATATACATTTGTTCACCACAAGCTTCTTTGAATTATGTTAGCGTGATGCGATTATTGTCAGCTGTTGAAGTAAATCCAAATAAAAGGGTTTATCCTTTTCCGCGACGAAACCCTGTTTCCATCTCTCTCCTGTTTTGGAGCTTGGATCCGGCTACAGGGAGTCATACAGGCCAAAGTCTGCCAGAGGGTGTAGTGGGGATTTAGTGTGGCTCCCTTCTAGCTGTCACTAGAAAAAAATGCTTTGTTACTAAAACAAATGAGAGAAGCTAAAATAAACGGCAAATGAAGAGGGTGCAAAAGAATTAATCAGCAGCACAACAGCAAATCTGCAAGCGGCTGCACCCTGGAGCAGCAGTGAGCGGAGCTGAGTGGAGGAGGTGCTGATGCTGACACTGACACTCCAGCATGAGCTCACCGGGGTCACGGCCAACGGGATTTGTCAAATATTGTAGGGACATCTGTTACTCAGTCAGGAAGCCTCTGTACGTAGCGGAGCCGACGAAGCGCCTGGTGTTAAAGTTTAATGAGGACGCACGACTGCTGCAGTTTGGTGTATAGCCTATATGACTGCTGCAGTTTGGTGTATAGCCTATACGACTGCTACAGTTTGGTGTATAGCTTATACGAATGCTGCAGTTTGGTGTATAGCCTATACTAATGCTGCTTTAACTCCAGCCTGGAGAGAGGTCATACAACATATTTCAGAATAGTTCACGTAGTAAAAAATACAAGTTCACAATAGTAAACGCGGTTTGTCATGAGATCTGGGGCATTTTGTCAGAATTTTGTGCGAATTATGTCATAATTATAAGAACCGCTCAAGCGGTTTTATGCATCTTGCGATTTGTTTTGCTGCAATCTGGTGATCCGTAAAGAACTGTTTTTTTTTTTTTTTAATTCCTCAGCAGCAACCGTCCGTGGCTGTATTTTTTAACAGTATGTCACACATCAGTGTTTTTTCTTTACTGTGTTATTGGGGAACACAGTTGTTTAAATTCTCACTTCTGTTATGGCTTTTCGTTCGGAATTCATCGTTGCCCTGGGACAGTTGACCTCAGGCTAATTTACAGATTACTAGCATTCTTGTATTTTTAAAATCTCTTCTGGCCTTTTAGCGGAGAGGCATGTGAATGCGAGGCTCGTTTGGCGTGGCTGACAAAGGGCTTGTGTCCGCCGGCGATGCTAATAAGGCGGACTTTCTACGCCGCTCAGCAGGCTGAGTTAAAGCCTCTGTAGCCTCATTGTTCCTCCAGTCACCCTTGTTATTGTTGTTATCGTTTCCTCACACAGGTCTCACATTCTGTAATTCTCATGTTAAATATTAAAGCGGACAGATGAGCGGTCAGGTTTTTCCAGACTATTCTGCAGTCTTCTCGTAACGTGGTGGAAAACATTACATTTATCTTGTGACCTCTATCCAACAAATGAATGATTGTGTCCGGTTTGCTCAGGAAGGAGCATCTGTGCAGTTACTGGTGGGCGGGTGCGGCTCTGTTATTAAGGGGATAGCCCCCCCTCTCCCAGCACCGCGCGACACCAAAACTCAGAGTTGGCTCCGCTCCCGTGTCAGAGATGCCAAGGTGTAATGTTTATTATTATGAAACCTCCCAGTCCCGTGGCTCGTATTTACTCAACAGTACTTAAAGTAATTGCAGACACATATAGATATAGGCTATCGTATATTACTCACTTTATATTAAGTGCGGTTGTCTTAAAGTTTCTTTGATATTAAGGTTTGTGCATTTACACACATAAACTTTTAATTTATTCAAGGCCCTGCCACAGAATGTGCCGCTAGAGGGCAGTAAACACGCGCAGGACGAAGTGATGCTTCGAGAGTAAGGGAGGCATTACGAACTTTAAAACCTGCCTATGTAAAACCAATTAGAAAACACTGGATATAAAAATGAAAGCTTCTGATAAAAATGAAGCGATCATTGCATTTTAGAGACTGATAAATATCTATGATTAATAAGCGTTCCACTTGGCTTGTCAAGTTCGCGGTTTTCACGCCAAGTTGGGCACTCCATATGTCATCACTTTATTATTTTTTGCGAAGACCTGGCAACCCGGCATGGAGACATCCTGGGCCAGGTCTATGATGGTTTAACCGAGCATGAAACAAGCAGGAATCGCATGCGTAATTTTAAAATATAGCGTGAGCTCAGTCATGATCCGCTCATTGAACAGCATAATTACGGCTGCAGCTTTGCAGCTGGTCTTGGACCGGCTGTATCCCACCCCGAGCCGTCATGCGGGCGGGGACCAGCTGCTCCGCGCCCCAAGCACCCGGATCGGGCACAATGCCCCCCCCTCCGCCTTGTTTGTTTGTCTTTAGTGAAAGTCTGTTAATCTAGCCTTAAGCTGTCCGTCCCCGAGATCCTTTCCAGCTCCCTTTTAACCGGAACCTTCTGCTAAGCCATCCGCGTTATTTGGCCGAATCGGGGATATGCCCCGTTTTAACAAATCCCCAGCGTGAAATGAGCCCTATTCATTTGTTTTACCGACTGATTAAACTCTTTATCTGTCGATAAAAAAAGCGCAGCCCGTGGCGTTTTCCTTGTAAATTAAGCGTTTTGTGTAAACGGTCAGTTCATAATTCACTGTAACTAATGCGGCTTGATATAATGGCATCGGTTGAAATGGCTTCTGCTTAATTTAGCGGTTTGTGGGCACCGTATGCTCATGGTCTGAGGTAATTTCCATGCAGGTGTTCGATATTTAATTGCTGACTCTTGTTTGTCATCACTGTTTTTAAAATAAACTGTATTATCTATAGTTAAATGTCATTTTTAGTTCTGATCTGGCTACCTGCTTTATTATAATCGTCCAAGAAGTCAACATCTCAAAATGTAAAAGAGTTTGAAAAACACAGTCTGCTAATTGAACTAGGAATACTGTTATCTTTAAATTCTAAACCAGCTTAGGTCTTTTCGTGACAGTCTGAAAGCCTGAGTCCTGATAAATACGGCAGATAGTTTAATAGGCATACTTGTCAGGTGTGTGTTAATTTGGTCTAACTGGGTTTGTCAGGATTAATTTTCTCACTGGTTGATGCTTGACCTCTGTGATTAGGCAGCCGTTTGTGCTGTTGTGTATATCAGCTGTGGCCAATCTTATCCGCAATGGGCCGGTGTGTATGCAGGTTTTTGGGATAACCTGTAAGTCAGCTGCTCAAACCCAGGTGTGAGGACTCTTCAGCCAATCAGTCCTCTAATTAGAAATATAATTAGGGAGCAGTGAGACCTGACACACACAGTGCCAACCCATGTATTATATTATAATATATCTATACTGCTTTATCCATCTGGGTCATGGGGAAGCTGGAGCCAATCCCAGCATCTTTGGGGGAGAGGCAGGGTACACCCTGGGCAGGCTGCCAGTCCACCACAGGGCCAACACAGACAAACACACTCACGGGAAATTTAGAGTAGCCATTTGACCTAATCTGCATGTCTTTGGACTGTGGGAGGGAACCGGAGCACCCAGAGGAAACCCACAGATGCACAGGGAGAACATGCAAACTCCACACAGAAAGGCACCCTGGGTGACCCAGGGACCGAACCCAGGACCTTCTTGTTGTGAGGCGACCACTGCACCACCCTGCCACCCCATATTGTGTTACATTACATTACATTGGACAGCCAAAAGCTTGGGAGACTGTGGGGATCAGTGTAGGTCCCCTTAAAACACAATGGATCAGTTCCGCCATGGCCTTTCACGTCACATGCTGTTCCTGCAGTGAGGAACACGCAGCTCTGTTCCTCTATGTGCTCAGAATACTGTTCTTTCAGTTTTAAGTGGGCTGGACCCTATTACTGTTCCTTAGTTTTGTAACCTAGGTGTAGAAGTAAATCATGAGTAGCTACTTGCTCTGTTCATTTTGCCAGCTTGCTTACCCCTGTTGTTTTTTACGTAAAGAGTAAAAAGCCCAGGTACACCTTGAGGTCAGCCGTGACCGCTCATCCATCTGCATCAATATAGTGAAACAGGAGTCAGCTTTTAGGAGTTGGTATAATAACAGTAAAATAATTTTCTTAAATGTGTTTAGAAAAAAAAAACAGAAGCCAGTAAATCAGATGATAAAATTAGTATGTGAAATGCTGTCCACTCCCTCAAACTTCATAAATCTTTGCTCACTTAAAACTTCCTGAGAACGGCATCAATCGCGGCATTTGTTATCAAATGGTTTTGTTTTTCTGAGATAAGTGCACGGTGAATTGTGTTCTTGATGTAGCATGTATTCTCACTCTATTGGTCTTCCTGTTAGTCGGGCCAATCACAATGAGATGCTTCAGACTGTCAGCAGGGGGCAGTAGTGTAATCTATTCTTTTTAGAATTCTTGCTCTTCTTCCTGCTTTTCACATGTGCTTTGCAGTGTTAATCATTATCACCAGCATGTTCAGCAGAATGTTCATGTGCCTTTTTGTTTTTCATCATTCTTTGCATGAAGCTGAGTTATGTCCATGTGTGAGAATGTGAGGAGCAGTCGTAATGGATGTCCCTCCAGTGGAGAAAATGTGATTGCAGTGCTGTATAGGGTGTCTGTCCATGTGTGAGAATGTGAGGAGCAGTCGTAATGGATGTCCCTCCAGTGGAGAA